CCCTAAAGTTTGTTTGCTCAGAACTTTTTTATTCTATCATAACCCTACATTTATTTTTGCAGTTTCTAATAGTAAATTTAGTTTAGAAACTTTTATCACTCTTAGAGAATATTGATAAAAACCACCGTTTTTGTGTTAAATACAAAAATGTTGGTTCCGATTTCAATAATAGCACTAAAAAAATATATAATAAAATATTTTTTATTACTTGTCTTGTAATTTTAGTAGTTTAGTGTAGTTTGGCCGAGCGTCTGAAGTATGAAGTAGTGTGCTACCTACTAGATCTAGAATTAGAAAGTTTCGAGTTTTTCCGTGCATCTTCAGACTTGTACGTCTTAAAATTAATATATTGCGCAAAAATTTTAAAAACATTTCAAAGACTAATTTTAATCATACTAAAACTAAAATGAGTTAGTTAATACTAAAAACCTACGCTTATTTTCGCATAAACCAAAAAGATTTATAACCTAATTTCCTTGGGTTAAACCCCCAACAGAAGACATAAATCCAAATAAAAAACGACGCTATATAAGAAAAAAACTCGACCTTTTCTTGTCCGGTCCACAATATTTCATGACGAAATGAAATTTGTTTTACCTCCTCGACTAAACTAAAAACATAAATTCGATCCATTCATAAAGATAATAATTTTGTCTCGACTAAGATTTGAAAATATAGATGATAGTTTTTTTTTGTTAAAAAGCCAACGATATGCTAGAACGTAGGTTGAAGAGAGATTCCATAATAAAGTTTCGAAACTCGAGCTTCGGACAAAAGTCCTTTGCGGTTATTGAGCCCCTACGAGTTCGCCCTAAAACTTTCGAGAGAAGTTCATTTACAACGAATCCACCCGGATAATTTCACCTTGACCTTAAGAGAAAAACAAAGCAAAACAATTTTTAAACGAATTATTTTATTTGTTTTAGGATGAGAGATTCAATCGTGATATAGATACATGGACAGGATACAGGACAAGAACTCTTCTTTGTATGCCCATAAAAGATACAAGTGGAGATGTAATAGGAGTAGCTCAGGTTCGATTTTTTGTTTCTTTCTATTTATCTATTAATTAAATCGACGTGTTTCTGTCCCATCTTAGGTGATAAATAAAGTGGGAGACGCCCCGTTTTCGCAACAGGACCAACAGATTTTCGCAAGTTACCTCCAGTTTTGCGGCATCGGTTTAAGAAATGCGCACCTTTACGAAAAATCTCAACTCGAGGTGAAACGAAATCAGGTTCTATTGGATTTAGCTCGAATGGTTTTCGAAGAACAAAGCACTATAGAACACGTCGTTTTTAGGATATTAACACATACACAAAGTCTTATTCAATGTCAAAGAGTACAGGTAAGCAAAATTTTCTATTTTTTTCATGTTCGAAAAATCTTTGAATCTTCTGCAAAACATTCCCATTCATTTTTCTAACTTCTTGATATTGATTTGAACCATTTTGACACACACCAATCAACATTTTCTATTTCTTAATATTATAGGTTGCTCTTAATACCCTTTTTAAAGCTTCTCATTGAATTCGTATGATTCTCAATGAGCCCATGTAGCGTGCAATAACAAGTCATGACTTCCATTTTAGTACTTCTCAGTGAATGGGGATAGCTCCAAATTATTCCATATTGCTCCAGCTGATTCCCATTTGCTTTTAATAACTCATCATGTCTTCGAGTAGCCCTCTCAAGAATATCTAACGACTTGTTTTAATTTACAAGCAGTTGTAGGTGATTTTTCACGAAGTTGAAGACCACAAACAATGTGACATATATTTATAGTTAAAATATAGAGCTTCTAATGTGTATAGAGCTAAAGTCATGGAAATTATAAGGAAGTTGGTTGGTGATAGATTTAAATTTTGCCATCACAGAAGAACTGGTCTAACAGATTGTTAAGTTGTTGCCTACTTAGACTCTGCTAAGAGTCTCTACTTATGGTGACTTCACCTCATAGGTATTAACTCCAAAGATGTGCATAGTTTGAGATTACTTATCACATTATTGAAGAGTATGAATATCACAACCATTAAGATATAAAATATAAAATAACAAAAAGTTGAGATAAAATATACCTGAAACTTTTTTCAAAGTAAACATGATACAAATAAAGCGCAGTATATTTTTAGTTACTGTCACGCCTTTATACGGAGAACTAACGCGTTTTGTGTATTTCGAGAATAATCGATCCGTAACTCGCGTTTTTCGGTTATTGTGACGTCATTAATCGATTGCGTGGGTTCATATATTCAAGGCTACTAGAAACATTGTAGTAAAAGATCTAGAAATGTTGAGGTGATTGCAATGTCGATATCTCAAGTTATCTTGTATTATCATACGATTCGAGTCACAGCAAGTATCTCTGCATTTTTTAATATCTATAATGTTAGATTAATTTCGTCTATTTGATTCTTTGTGATTCCGCAAGGTTGCGTTATGTATATCTATCTGTAATAGAGATATCTAATACAGATCTGTAATAGATTATTCAAAAGTTATTCCTAGCTCTTTGGTTCCTCAATGTAACATCTCTTATTCTTTTCCAAGCTTCCTGTATAGCCGTCTTTGTGCTCCTGGCTTGTGTAAGACTCTTGGCTGACCAAATATGATGTTAAAACTTGCACGTTGATACAAATCAAGATTTTAACATCTGGGTGTAGAACTAGCTTAGCTGTAATGAGTGTCTAATGGGAATAGCATACGATTTTGAATCTTTAGACAAAGTTGATCTTTAACTTAAGAACTTAGCTTCTCCATGAGGCAGATGTTTTGATGAGTTAGAGTTGGAGTTCTCTTACTCATCATCTAGCAGCAAGATAATAGAGATCTATACTCAATTTACACAGTGTCATGTTTCAAAGCTATTTTTTGGCGGGAGTTTTAAAATCAGAGGATTTTAAACAAACTGTAGTTACGAATTTAATTACTTATTTGTTTAAACATACTAAAAACCAGGGCGTACCTACTTACTTTGTCTCACATAAAATGCAACATGTCAATATCATTTGACATTACACTAAAACCTCGAAAAACTCTTCTCGATCTTTAACCCCAAATTGTTCTTTTTAATAAAATTTAAAAAAAATGTTGTAGAAAAATTATTGAAAAATAAAAATAAAGAAAATCGGGTTTTTTAACACGAAATTAAGTAGGAAATCAAAAAATTTTATGAAAAGAGTCCAAACACCACCTATTTATCTCTAATCGTTTCGGAGATATTAATTTTTAATTATAAAAAAACAATTGAATTTTTTAGTTTGACGTTTGATGGTTTTTAACCTAACTTTTTTGGGTTTTAACGGAAATATATCGAGTTTGGTGTCAAAATTGAGGATTTTTAATAATCTTTAACCCCAAATTGTTCTTTTTAATAAATTTTGTTAAAAAAAATTTTTAGAAAAATTATTGAAAAATAAAAATAAAGAAAATCGGGTTTTTTAATTCGAAATTAAGTAAGAAATCAATAATTTTTTTGAAAAGAGTCCAAACACCATCTATTTATCTCTAATCGTTTCGGAGATATCAATTTTTAATTATAAAAAAACAATTGAATTTTTTAGTTTGACGTTTGATGGTTTTTAACCTAACTTTTTTGGGTTTTAACGGAAATATATCGAGTTTGGTATCAAAATAAACGATTTCTGATGATCTTTAACCCCAAATTGTACTTTTTAATAAATTTTGTTAAAAAAATTTTTAAAAAAATTATTGAATAATAAAAATAAAGAAAATCGAAGTTTTTAACACTAAATTAAGTAAAAAATCAAAAATTTGTTTGAAAAGAGTCTAAACACCACCTATTTATCCCTAATCGTTTCGGAGATATTAATTTTTAATTATAAAAAAACAATTGAATTTTTTAATTTGACGTTTAATAGTTTTTAACCTAACTTTTTTGGGTTTTAACGGAAATATATCGAGTTTGGTGTCAAAATTAAGGATTTTTAATAATCTTTAACCCCAAATTGTTCTTTTTAATAAATTTTGTTAAAAAAAATTTTTTAGAAAAATTATTGAAAAATAAAAATAAAGAAAATCGGGTTTTTTAACACGAAATTAAGTAAGAAATCAAAAACATTTTTGAAAAGAGTCTAAACACCACCTATTTATCTCTAATCGTTTCGGAGATATTAATTTTTAATTATAAAAAAACAATTGAATTTTTTAATTTGACGTTTAATAGTTTTTAACCTAACTTTTTTGGGTTTTAACGGAAATATATCGAGTTTGGTGTCAAAATTAAGGATTTTTAATAATCTTTAACCCCAAATTGTTCTTTTTAATAAATTTTGTTAAAAAAAATTTTTTAGAAAAATTATTGAAAAATAAAAATAAAGAAAATCGGGTTTTTTAACACGAAATTAAGTAAGAAATCAAAAACATTTTTGAAAAGAGTCTAAACACCACCTATTTATCTCTAATCGTTTCGGAGATATTAATTTTTAATTATAAAAAAACAATTGAATTTTTTAATTTGACGTTTAATAGTTTTTAACCTAACTTTTTTGGGTTTTAACGGAAATATATCGAGTTTGGTGTCAAAATTAAGGATTTTTAATAATCTTTAACCCCAAATTGTTCTTTTTAATAAATTTTGTTAAAAAAAATTTTTTAGAAAAATTATTGAAAAATAAAAATAAAGAAAATCGGGTTTTTTAACACGAAATTAAGTAAGAAATCAAAAAATTTTATGAAAAGAGTCCAAACACCACCTATTTATCTCTAATCGTTTCTGAGATATTAATTTTTAATTATAAAAAAACAATTGAATTTTTTAATTTGACGTTTAATAGTTTTTAACCTAACTTTTTTGGGTTTTAACGGAAATATATCGAGTTTGGTGTCAAAATTAAGGATTTTTAATAATCTTTAACCCCAAATTGTTCTTTTTAATAAATTTTGTTAAAAAAAATTTTTTAGAAAAATTATTGAAAAATAAAAATAAAGAAAATCGGGTTTTTTAACACGAAATTAAGTAGGAAATCAAAAAATTTTATGAAAAGAGTCCAAACACCACCTATTTATCCCTAATCGTTTCGGAGATATTAATTTTTAATTAAAAAAAAACAATTGAATTTTTTAGTTTGACGTTTGATGGTTTTTAACCTAACTTTTTTGGGTTTTAACGGAAATATATCGAGTTTGGTATCAAAATAAAGGATTTTTGACAATCTTTAACTCCAAATTGTTCCTTTTAATAAATTTCCCCTCCTTTTTGGGGCTTCAATTTGAAAAGACTCCACCGAATTAAAAAATAGAGTATAATACACTTAGATAACTCATTATTGCTTAATCAAAAAACTAACTGTTTATTTCTAATTGTATTGAACAAAATATTCTAACACGAACGTTACATAAAGGAAATGAATTCATTGAATAAAAAAGTAAAGGTGGTAAAACGAGTCGAACAAATGTGTTTGGTTTATTTAAAAAGTGAAGTAACGGTTCCATTAACCGTGATTAAATTTTTTACTGTGTACCACGGCCAAGCTAACAAATTGCAATTTGGGCGAGACGTTTCGCGGAAATCCCAACGGAGTCGTTTGTTGGAAACAAAACCCGTCTCCTTTCGTTCGCTTTGTACCCGCTTCTTTGGACGTTCATAATTAATCAGTCGCGCTCTCGGCTTTTCAAACACAAATTTTATTTCGAATTTCAAAAATTCATTTTTCATCCACTCCTTTTTATTTCGTTCTAGGTTCTACTGACCCATCAAGCGTCTAAAAGGAGTTTTTCGCGATCGTTTGATTTCCAAGCGAGCGACCTTTGCGGCGAAGAAGGCGAATCAAGAACTAGGTAATTAATTAATTAATTGAATAATAAAACTAAATCTTAAATATAATAATTCATTTTTAGCCCATTTGAAAGTCGGTTTCCTATAAATATTGGGATTACTGGATATGTTGCCGCGAGGGGAGAGGTAATTTTTTTTAAAATTATTAATTACTTAACATATCCCTTAAAATAGCACTTTTTGGGTTATTTTTTAGACTGTGAATATTGTTAATGCGTACGATGATAGCCGGTTTGATCCCAGCGTGGATAGAAACAGCAACTTTCAGCATAAAAGCATCCTTTGTATGGCTATTAAAAATTCTTCGTGCGAAATTATAGGCGTTATCCAATTGATTAATAAATTTAATGATTTGCCGTTTACCAAAAATGATGAAAACTTTGTGGAGGCTTTTGCTATTTTTTGTGGGATGGGAATTCATAACACCCATATGTATGAAAAGGCTGTTGTGGCCATTGCCAAACAAAGCGTTACTCTTGAAGTTTTATCTTATCACGCAACATCAAGTATAGAAGATGCTCAAAGAATTAGAGTAAGCTTTTTAATTTAATTACAAATTTATTTAGGATAATAAATTATTTTTTTATTTTAGCAAATGAGGGTTCCATCTGCGGTATCGTTTTGTTTGCACGAGTTCTCTTTCGATGATGTTGGGTTATCTGATGATGAAACTCTTACGGTAAATAATTCGTGGTAATTAGAATAAATTTGATGTTAAAATTTTTTTTTATAGGCATGTATAAGAATGTTCCTTGATCTTGATCTAGTCGAGAGGTTCCACATGGACTATGAGGTCCTCTGTCGGTGGTTGTTATCCGTTAAGAAAAATTATCGTAATGTTACCTATCATAATTGGCGGCACGCTTTTAATGTTGCCCAAATGATGTTCTCCATTTTAACAGTAAGTAAAAATATTTCAAAAAATTAAATTTATAACTTCTTTTTATTTTAGGCTACTGGTTGGTGGAATATTTTCGGAGAAATTGAAGTTTTAGCTTTGATAATCGGTTGTCTAAGCCATGATTTGGATCATAGAGGAACCAACAATTCCTTTCAAATAAAGTAAGAAATTAAGATTATTATTAAGTTCATTGCCTTTTATAGTAATCTTACCGTCATCATGTATAATATGGCTTTTCTAAGTAATGCAAAACTATTAAAAAAGTATAAAACAAATTTAATTCTTTTTTGCAACAAATGTGAAGATAAAATTTTATACAGGGGTGTATCAAATGTCTGGAATATACCCAATAACTTCATAACAAATGGCAAACTGTCCATTTTTTGACATTTAAAGTTGTCAACGCCTGTAGAGAAGCAGAAAAAAGTTTCACTTTTTGAATATTGAGTCAGTAAAACTCAAGAATATTGAGTTAGTTGTCAGTGATTATTATTCTGAGTTTGCTGTTACACCTTATTTAGAAAATTCATGTCAAACAACGCGTATTCTGGCGATATATTCATTCACCGCCTCATGCTTTTGTTATAGTAAAATAGGAAAGCCATTTCTGTATGGACTTTTAACTCAAAAATACTATGCCAAAGAATAAGAAAAAAGACTTTAAGAAGTCCTCTAAGAACTGCAAATCGTCAGAACTCATTCCTCAGCACAACCTTCATGAACAACTTTCCCTTTCGGCCAAAGTTACAACTTGATGTGCGATGTCTTTGAATAAGCATAATTGGCTCATACTTCTTTAAGAATGATGATGGCCATAACATCAGCAAATGCTCATTTCCACCAAGATGGAGCAACTTGTTACACAACTAGGGCTACATTGAGCTTTCTTCGAGAGTTTTTTCCTCATCAATAAAAATAGGAATATTGGTCTCCACGATCGCCAGACCTGAAGAATGATGGTGGCCATATTCCTGAAGTACATAATATTCAAAAAATGATCTTTCCTTTAACATTTGTTGCAAAACAGTCATTTATGTACTAACAATAAGTGTTAGTTCTTGTTTTAGCTGTTATTCAGCGTTAGATTATTTTATACTTTTCATTGAACTGAAACTAGAAAGGTTCTGGTTTAGCCGGTCGTCTCTCAAGACAGCATAATCCATCAAATGATTTACCACTACACCTAATCAACAGTTCAGATCTGCAGTTTTATTTGATAAAGCCAAGGCCTGCAATATCTGTGGCAATATGATGACCAGTTTCAGATATAATGTTGAATAGGGTCAAGGTCAGTAGAATCTACATCTATTGTTGTGACAAAGTGCCCGCATCATATTGTTGTGTTCTATGCGTTTGCTGTCTATTTTTAGAGGTTATATCCTATATCGTAGACATATTCATATTATTTTAGAAGTTTTATTTTTTTAGACGTATCATATAACCTCTAAAAACACAACAAACGCATAGAACTCAATGACAGTTAACTGGGCGTGGCAAATAGTGTGACGTAGAGTGCGGGCAACCAACCCGTAGTGAGCTACAAAACAACAATTGATGTAGCAGTCCTGTTAGTGTCTACTATCCTTGGGATAGGGTTAGTTTTGTTTACAAATATCAATCATCCCCGGAAGGAATGTTGCGAAAAGTAAGTTTTCTTTTGAAATGTTAATCATCCAAGGGAAAGAATGTTAGGATAACTCAGTTTGGTTTTGAAACCCTAATTATAGCGTGTTAAGACAGGTAATTTTCTTTTGAATCTCCAATTAAAGTTGAAGAAACCTGAATGTTTCTAGTTCTAGGTCTAATATTAGTTCTAGTGACAGTGCTAGGTAGGTGGCGCTAGTGAGCATTAGATGTCACTGTGTTGTATATTTTTATTGAATTAAAACTAGAACTATAACTAACGTAAGACCTAGAACTAGAATCATTGGGGTTTAGCCGTCTTGACAGAGCTGCGGTTAAATCCGAATGTTTCTAGATCGTGGTCTAGTGTTAGTTCTAGTTTTAATTGTTATTCAGCAACAGCAGAACTATCCAATGCCTGTACAATTAAGCTATGTTACATTTTATGTCGGACTGCACAAGTGCACAGTAATTTCGTAACTATAGTTACTGCATTCGTATATTGCGAGTTATATGAAATTCTCTGTATGACATGTGACAAACGATTTGTTTGTTAAGAGTGGAATTGTAGCTGTCAAAACTCGTGACAAGTATGTATTCAAATGGATGAGGCGCAAATCGCTATATTTTTAATATAATGTTATGTTTGGTGCATAACTATAATAATCCCACATAAATAAAGACTATTTTATGTTGGATGTTGGAGAGACTAAGCGATCAAAGTGACGTTCTCAGATCGGTACGACCTATAATATAAAATTTATCATAGGATAAAATTCAATCCCGCCATCTACTTCAGAATCGGTGAACTTTAGAAAGTAACTAAATCAACTTATCTACACTAAATACCCTAAATTTATTATCAAAATTCAAACTTCGGTGATTTTGTCGAAAATACAATTTATTTATATTGTTCCTCTCAGTATACAACCATAATACAAACATGGACCAGAAACTGTCAAAATTCCATAGCTTTCTAATAAAAGAACCTGCATTTCGTGCATGTTTTAATAAATTTCCCAATATGAGGTAAACTACAATAAATAGGTATAAGAATATTAATAGATAATTTGTAGAGAATTAAATTCCCTTTCTGATAGGCTAAAAAAATATGAGGCGTTCCATTTAAAATTTTCGAGTTTCTCGCTATTGAACATGGAGAAACAGTAATTCAATTTTTGACCCCCTGTATAAGATACTCCGATACAACAAATGACAATATATTTAACAACATCTGAAGAGTAATCGTGCCAATGTAGAATTTTTTTGAATGAACGTTGATTGAGATAATGGGCTTGTAAAGAGAAATTTATCAAAAAAAGCTTAAAACCAAAATAAGTCGAAAACGAAAAACGCTAAGTACCAATAACTTTTATCAAAGTCACCCTATTTTTTTACGTACAATTAAATGATGTAATAAAAACTGGTCTATTTCCGGTAGACCAGAAGCGGCGGCCATCTTGAAAATATTTTATATCGAAAGCTCCAAATGAACCTAAATTATTAGATTAAACCTAAAAAAGTTCTAACGGACCAGTTACGTGAGACACCTGTACGTATTATTATACCCATACTGAAGGAAACCATTCATCTAAATTCATAATTAAAGATTTAATTTGGAGTAATATCAATTGAAAGTTTGTAACTAAAAGTAAATCTTTTTACTACTTTCTTATTTTACAAAACAAAGAATGGTTTCTCTTAATTGAAACAATAATAGTATATTAAAAAACAAGTTTCGTAAGACACGTTTGAAATGCACGAATTCAAGTTGAAAAACGAGTGGCGAAGCCACGAGTTTTTTAATGAATGAGTGCTTTAAGTCTTATGAAACGTGTTTTTTAAGCTATTTTTGGTAAATCGCGTTTTTATCCTTTTTTTTTTTCTCAAAAATAAAATAAATTTTGACAATGTAGGAAAATAGGTATGTAGCAGTTGGTAACACTTGAAAATAGAAATTTGAATTGACAAATAGAAACTGTCAAAACACAAAACGTATTCATCTGACAAAAATGTTTCATGTACAGGGTGGGCAAATTTGGGTGTTATTATAGGCTATCTCAGAAACTATAAGAGATACGAAAAAAGTAGGTGCCATGTCCCGGTCTCTTTTTTCGAGACTAAGCCAATCCCGCAAACACCAAACCTCTATCTTCTTTTGTTTTTAAGTTATAGCCAAAAAGTCAAATTTTCGTGATTTTAAAAAATGCTCATATTTCGTTTATTTTTGAAATTAGAGAAATGGGGTTGATACGTTCTTAAGACACTTTTTTAAGTAGAATATATTGCCGTTGAAAAGTTTTAAATATACTTGATGATTTTTGAGATATAACACAAAGTTGTGTTTTTTTAAATACAAACTATACTTGATTATGATGTTAAAGAAAAGAGCATATTTTTAGCTTTCCAATGATGTATCGCA